TTTATTCTCTCTTTGTGAAATGGAGTTAAATTACTTTGTTCTTCATTAAACATATAAGCAACCTCTGATTGTCACTATCCGATCTGTCCCGGAAGCATGATCCGCACCTCACTTCCGGCTGGAACTTTTACGTTTTTTTGTTGTTGTTTTTTCTGTGCATAAGCGTTGCCGTTGTCGCCATAGATATCCATAATAAAGGCTAGATGTCTCGTCCGCGCTGCTGGCCAATGGGGGTCGACGTCCGCACGTGGCGGCCATCTTGCCACAGGCAGCTCGCTCATTCGTAACATTGTGTTTTAAAGGCGCATGTACTTAAATAACCATAACTTCCTGAATTGTCTAATTGTTTGGTTTGTTAAACAAAAGTCAGACATGTAGTTATGATACTGCGCACTTATGAATAATTATAACCATGGTATGTCATATGAAAAGAACATTGAATAGAACATACAGGTGCAATAAATATACACATGCACAAGGTATTTATGTTAAATCAATATATGCTAATAAAACTCAGTGTACTGAATGGCAACATGATATATAGATATATCTATAGATATCTATATAGATATAGATACCTATATATATAAATATGTGTATATATATATATATATATATATATATATATATATATATATATATATATATATATATATATATATATATATATATATATATATATATATATATATAAATATGTATATATATAAAATTATGTATATATATATTTTAATGTGTGTATATATATATATATATATATAAATATGTATGTATATATACATATATATATATATATATATATATATATATATATATATATATATATATATATATATATATATATATATATATATATATATATATATATATATATATATATATATATATATATATATATATATAAATAAACACTTTTATTTGGGTGTGATTATTTCACAGTCCTAATTTATTTATATTTACATACATACTTTTATAATATGAATATTATTGTTATAATAAAATATGGAATACTGACAGAAAAGGCTTATTGTGTGGCAACCTCTTGGTGTAGAAGCTTAATCCAGGTTTCGAATTAAAGGTAACACTTTGAAGTTTCATGTAGACTATTCGGATTATATATCAGGGGTAATTACACAAAAGTTCCTATTTTCAAACCATTATAAAAGTGACATTTATTTGCTATTAAAATTGGTACAATAGTCCCTTCACAAGTATATATAGATGTAGCATGTTGAAATCCCCACCTACACTACTGTGATGGTATACACATGGAAGACAGAGATTTAAAAAATAACCCAAAAAACATAGCTTGGCTAATGCCCTTTGAAAAGGACGGTTTTATTGAGCTTCTGTGTAATGTACAAGAGAGCGTTGTCCACGAGGCCATCAAAGCGGATAGGAAGGTAGCTGTGGTCATGTACTAGTGCAGGAATGTCAGCAAACGGGGATGGAACATCTTCTCCTCCTCCTTACACATTATATAACCTGCAGAAACAAAAACAAAAGTGACCAACAACAATTCACAGTGTATAAGATTGGTATATCAATATGTGATTAAATTTCAATAATACACATGCCCTTTGAAGATGAGCTGGAAAGTTGAAAATGTTTGGCACAACACCATCTTTAAGTTGTCCAAATGAAACTAATACAAACTTATAAAAGCTTTGAGTCAACAACAATCTTGTAATACTATTATGTCATAGAAAAAGTCTGGCATCTTCCTTTTAATAAACCCAGCAAATTCCTGTAACATAATGTAAGATGTGTTGACAGACCAAATCGATTGGAAATCATGTTAAATTCTGCCTCTTCCACTGATGTAAAGTTGCTGGTTAACGTTAGCAGCTAGCTAGTAAGTTAGGTCTCACTTTGCAGCTTCTTGTTATTAGACAGCTAACGTTAGGCTAATAATGAAAATACAACAACACTCAGATTATTGTTATTAGCCAACTAATAACTACAACCACATCCACAAAGATTGTAATTTACACCAAAGATTAATTGTCATACAATCGTTATTGGTGTCAGTAAAACCTATATAATTGACTAATAATCTCAGCCTTGATAACTTGCGCAAGTAGCCGTGATGCACAACTATGCTGCATGATTAAGTCATTTTTCGACAAGAAAATCTGCAATTTCGACATGTTCAAGCATCTAGAATTATAGCCACGTTCATAATGTTTGTAAGAAACCAAACTGTTTGTAAATCCATCAAGAATTCAGTGAGATAAGAGTATTTGTGTTCGTGCTGATCACTCACCTTACATTAGGTACCACAGAGCACAACAGAAAGCCTGCCTGAGGTAAGATGGCCGCCGGTGATGACGTTTGAGACTCAGCCGTAAGACATCTAGCCTTTATTATGGATATCTATGGTTGTCGCTACCCGATCCGTACCGGTAGCACGATCCGTACCATCAGCTCATTTGCGCCTGCGCGAACAGAATAACTTCCGGGTCGCCAAAAAATAATGTAATTACGGTACTGAAAAAACTTTATTTATATCCTTAAATAATTAAAGAATATTAAACTACATCGTAAAGACAATATTGAAGACTTTTCTGGAAGAAATGGATGCTTTTTAAATTCAATCCATTGTATTGCTTGACGTCATTTTTCTGAAATAAAAATCCAAATTTTCGGGAAATGTTCCCTTATCAATGAAAAACTGCAGGTCACGAAAGGTAGCAAATGAATCCATTGTGGGATCAGTACTGCTGGAGTGCATAGTTAAGTACAGAGTGAATCAAATATTTAACAAATTTAAATATATACGCTGTGTGACGTATATTTGCGCATGCTCAGAGCAGTCAACGTAACTATCACAAGGCGATTGAACTTTTTTATGTATTTCTGTTTTTTTTATTTTTAGAAAATGCAATATTGACGCAAATACAAAGATATACAAAAAGAAACCCATGCCTCTAAAAAATACAAAAGAATAAAAAAAGTAATAAAAAGGCCACTGGAAGTTATTCTGTTTGCGCACGCGCAAATGAGCTGATGGTACGGATCGTGCTTCCGGTACGGATCGGGTAATGACAGCCGTTTTTTGGTTTCACTATCATGTTTCACTGTAGTTGAATGAATAATGTATAATGTGGAGAAAGCAAAAATACAGAAAACCTACGCTTCCGTGTTGTGAGCATGCGCGGTGATGACGTCAGACGAGCTATACATATCGGAGATGACGGAACGTGGCAGGCCGTTTAGATATTTATTAGAAGCCCTGTCCACTCTGTTTTTCCAAGTATCTGTAATTTGTTACTTAACACCTCTGCAGATCACTAAAATAAGAATATTCTTGCTGGTTAAAACTACAGCACTACTACAGCACTACTACTTAGAGCTATAAATATAGAAATCACAAATTACGATTTTTTTTTCCCCATCAAAAATAAAATTTGAGGATGCAGAAAATATGATTGTATAGAAAAAGAAATAAAAATTGTGACCATTAAAATTTTTTTCTACAAATTTATATTTAGACTTCCACAGAGTTTTTTATTTTTAGATAGAAGTGATATTATTTTGGATATCTGAAAGTAACGGCCCAACACACATGAATGGGGAAAAGTGACATAAATTGTATTAGTGAAAATTTCCTTTCGGATGTCAAAAATGTTCATTTTAGAAAGGAAGAATACTATTGTAGTATTGTTCTAATACACATTAGAACAAGCAAATATATGTTACAACATAAACTTAATATGGGTAATTATTTCTACGTATCTTAAATGTAGTTCTTACTAGAATAAATGTGATTCCAGATTACTTAAAAGTTGATATCTATATTACAATTTTGACTAGGAAAATTGTAATTGTGACTAGGTAGAATGCTTTAGTGCAATCAATAATAGAAATGTTATTAGTCATCCTGCCTATTTTATGTTAAAATGGAGCCCTATTAAAATTCAGATGTATAGAATTCTAATTTAACTATTAATAAAAGAAGTAGTTTATATCGACATTTCTATTAGTTGAAATATATTTTTGATGTTCAAAATTGGATTTGTGAATATCTAGAATGTTGTATTTTCTATGTATTGTCATTGTCATTTATGTCATCGTCATAAAGAAAATATTTTTAGAAAGTCTGTGTTTTTAACTGGTGGGAAAAAAAATACCAGGCAGCCGCTCTTCCAGATACTGCTTACCACCATTAAACATTTTAACGGTGCTTAGTGCTAGAACACTCCAGCTTACTTTCATCTCTGACTGAAGCCCATTTCACAAAAAAGTTTAACAAACTCGGACTCAAATCCTCAACCCTGAGTTGATCTAGCCTAAGGTTGGATGCTCTGAGTTTTCATTTTCACCAGCTGCTGTCAGCTAGCTTAATCAACTCTGATTAGGTTCAGAGTTCAGCATGTGCATAAATACTATGGAAAGATATCATCAGTGAAGCAAGTCACCATGACAACAGACAACAGGAAGGGCCTAATTCACAGCAAGCAGCTAGAGGTTTTAATGCATAGTTGAAATAATATTGGAGAAAATGTTTAAAAAGAGCATTAGCACTACAGCTGCAAAGAATAGGGAGAATAGAATTACATTTTTGCAATCTGTGAATTTTAATATGGTAACAGAATCAGAGATTGAGTTAACTCTGTGAAACAGAAAACTCAGTTTTCCCTGATTTCAGGTTTATACAACTTAAGAGTTTTTAGTAAACCTGCTTTGTGAAATGGGCTTCTAGATATAGCCTGATATAGCCTAAGCTGTTCAATTTGTGACTAACCTAACTAAACCTGTGAAAGATTCAGATTTTCGTTCCACCAAACATACTGTCTATGGATCTCATAGTTGGAGATCCTTAACTTTCCCCGTTTCGGATTTCTTCTTGAAGATTATCTAAAATAATTTAGTCCAAATAAAGTTGACAGATTATATAAATTTCTTCTTCAGATATTCACTAATCACAGCCAGGTTCAGCAACAATCTTTATTTTTATTAATTTGCAATAAACATGCATTTCTTTTTAGATTTATTTTGTCATTTTGTAAACACAAGTTTAAACAAAAAGAAATTTTGTTTAGAACAGCTCTCTAGACAATTTCATTTTTTAAAGTAACGCCTTGATAACGTAAGTAGCAGTGATAAAAACAAAACCAAAAACATTGTGATATTAAGTCACTATAACTATAGAGCTCTGATCACCCCATTTCATCCGGTAACTTTGTTAAGCTAATACAGTAAAATGATAAAATCATTGTTTTGTAAGAGAACAGTGCAAATCAAAGACAACACAGGGAATCAACACATGACTGTAAGACTTAATAACCTCTGGAACCTTGGGGTGTAAATACCTCATGATTTAATGTATTTTACATCTTTTTTGATGGGAAACTTTACAAGATTTTTTCTTAAAGTGGCTTTATTGTGTATTCATAGCTTAGCCATTTTTCTTCCTCTGTGGGTTTTCGTGTGTTTCTTCAAGCTTGTGCTTTCAGTAAATCTTGCCCCACAAAGATCACAGCAGAAAGGGTTATGTCCTGTGTGGATCCTCATGTGTGTACTTAGATTTCCCTTTTCACTAAATCTTTTTCCACATATGTCACATGGGAAAGGTCTCTGTCCAGTGTGGATTCTACTGTGCGTCTCTAAATGTACTTTTTGCCTAAATTTTTTCCCACAGTCAAGACAACAGAAAGGTTTATGTCCCGTGTGGGTCATCATATGTTTGGTTAAGGTTGATTTTTCATTAAATCTTTGTCCACACAGATCACAAGAAAAAGGCTTCTGTCCTGTGTGGATTCTTGAGTGCGAGTTCAAAAGTGTTTTTCGACTAAAACTTTGTCCACATAAATTGCAACAAAATGGTTTCTGTCCTGTGTGGATTTTTATGTGTCTGGTTAAACTGTTTTTTAAGCCAAATCGTTGTCCACACAGATCACAACAGAAAGGTTTCTGTCCAGAATGGCTTATCATGTGTATTTTCAAAGACGATTTTTCACAAAATCCTTTTGCACATAGCTCACAAGAAAAAGGTTTTTCTGCTAAATGGATTTTCATGTGTCTGGTTAAATGTCCATTCACACTAAAACTTTGTCCACATAGATCACAGATATAAGGTTTATGTCCTGTGTGGATTTTCATATGTGTATTTAACTTTGTCTTTGTGCTAAATGTTTTCCCACATACATCACAGGTGTAGGGTTTCTGTCCAGTGTGGAGTTTCTTGTGTCTGTTTAAACTGCTTTTTCCTGTCAATAATTTACCACAGTCTTCACAGCTAAACTTTAATCCTGGCTCGACTTCCCTTTGTGAGCCTTCATTTGGGAAGCTTGAAGACTCTGTATCTGAATCGATTGAGTCGTTTTGAACAAAGGGATGAAAAAAATGTTCAATAAACATAGAGGAACTATAAGGTTTGTTCATATTTTCATCCAATGACAATGACTTCCAGTCATTGTCCATGTCCTTAGTCGTTAGCCCAAAGTCTGACAAGTGTTTCAGCTCAGAGACTGAAGGTTTTATATCATTGTCCTCATCCTCCATAGTGTCTTCAGTCTTTAAGTAAATAGAACCATCTGGAATCTCTCTGCCTGTAAACTGGTCTGGATAAAGCTGAGAGAGCCGAGGGGAATGGTTATCATTCACACTGTTATTGAGAGAAGCAGACACTGGAAAGCTGATGGCTTCCATCTCCTCCTTTGCATTGAGCTGCTCTCCCCCCAGACTGACGTAGATTTCTTCCTGTTCCTCCTTTATGTGTTCAGGCTTTGGGTCATTCAGGTGAGCATATGGTCTGTAGTCCACAGGTTCCTCTTCTTTAACAATCACCCCCTGCTGAACATCTGCAGAAAACATTGAAAAGCATAATGCATATTAGAAAGTAAGGCACTTAAACAGAAACAATGTTCTTCAATTATAATTACTTCTCTTATTTTTCCCATTCCTTAATTTTTTTTCTTAAATAACCGTTTTTCACATATCCAGTGATGATGTCTGAACTTATTCAAGCATATAACGCATTTTATTATTGTACTTAGCTTATTCAGAGTTCAGTACAGTGCTAGACCAAGAGTCTAAGAGTCCTTATGAAACTTCATTAAAAATTGTAAAATCGTGTAAAACAGACATGGAGACTTAAAAGGAGGGGAGAAAGAGGGGCATAAACTTAAAGATGTGTGGCAGTATAGAGAAAATAAAACAGCACAAGTAGACAACACAGGAGATATACAGTTAACTCCTAGTCTGCCTCCACACTTGTATGAGATTAGGGGTGGGGGGACACATGCGTTCACTCAGACGACCTGGTGTCCGTGTATAGCCCAGCCTTTAGTTAAATAACATGCTGTTGCACATCTCTGGTGTTTCTTCTATTTTTCACATATCCATTACTGTAAAAATGTCCACAGCTATTATTGTTTTTTTTTACTGTCCAGATACAGAGTATTTATATTGTAAAAATCACTGTACATTAAAATACTCAATTTGCTTTGTTTTTTTTCCTATCTGATATTTATTTTACACTTTCTAAGGTACACAATGTGTGACCACCTCTTCTATAACCTTCTGCTGCTGTAACATCACAGTTTCCTCATTGTGGGACAATAAAGGGAGGTTCTATTCTACTCGATTCTATTCATCAAGATTACGATCATGCCTTCAAGGTTTAATGGAGGATTTTCTTTTTACTGGTGGATCATCAAAATAAAGCCCTATTTACACTACCCTCTGAAAACCGATGCGTGCAGAGTTCAGACTGAGCTTGGATCAGTTAAAGCCAATTTTCGGGTCGATTTTCCAGTCGTGCGAGAATTTTCCGATCGGGCCGACTTTCAGCCTGATCGTGAGTCCTGAGTCATGTAGTGTACAGGGGGTTATGAGCAGTGATTAGTCTCTCACGACCACCTCTTGATCAGGAATCGTGAGATCGGGAGAAAATCAAACATGTTTGATATTCTCCCGACCGTCGTTGGCAAATTGCTCAGGGCGCAAAGAAGGATTCTTCTTTTTATTCTTTCTCTCAGATATAAACATAGCAGTGTGGCAGAAATGCAATGAGTGTAATGCAGTTCTGTCTGTAAAATTGACGAACGGTAGTAGCCACGTTTGTTCAGCCATGACTTTTTTTCAAATACGTCGTCGCCTTTTCTTTTCAGGACTTTCAGCACAAAATTGCACAAATTGCCAAGGCAGCACGGTTCACTATAGTGAGCTTAATATTCCCCTTCTATTTGTTTGGCTTCAGGATAGACGAGTCAGAGCAGCTCCATCTCAGTGTGGAGCTAAGTCCGACGTGGTCTTTAGTCGCACAGTGTGAGCAGGTAGATCGCATCAGAGCGCCGTGCTGCACATCGTGAGCTGTGAGCTCACACTGTACAACTAAACCCTGTGGTTAATCGTACAGTGTGAGCAGCAGCTAAGTTCAACGACTGAAAACAATCGCACAGTGTACGCCCGGCTTAACCACACCGGCCGTTTACACACCACGCTATCACGGTTCCTCTCCTCCTAGAGACGATCTAAGGTACTACTGCTCTTTAGAGGTTAACAAGCAAATCAAACTTGATTTTAGAAAAGTAATACTGCTGAAAAGTAAACCTGTAAAGTAGCTGGATTTAGTTTGTTAGAGAAAGAAAGAAATACTGAAAAGATATAAAATAATCATTAAATACAGAAATAGAAATAAGTAAACCTTCCTTTAGATTTTTTTGAATGATATTACATGTTTAGTATGTATTTTCTTTAGTTATTGCTACAATTTGAGGTCATTGTCAGGTGAAGTAATTTGTTTTCTAAAGTATTGTAAGCTATTGATGGCTACAACCAGCTCTGTATTAAAGTTATTTTGATCATTTAAGCGTAACTTATTTTCAGGTATTTTTAGTGTTTTGTAAGCTTTCGAGTGGCAGTTATCTCCTTAGAAGATACACAAGTGAAGCATTAACAAAGGTAATTTATATAACTGAATTGGGATTTCAGAAAACAATATATATATATATATATATATATATATATATATATATATATACATACATATATACACATATACCGTATTTTCACGACCATAAGGCGCACCGGACTAAAAGGCGCACTCTCAGTTATGTGTCCCATTTCTGTATTTAACACACACATAAGGCGCACCGGACTATAGGGCGCGTTTTTTATATACAGGTACATGTCCTCTCAGGTGGATTTTCTCACTTAAAAACATATTAAAACTACTTTATTCCCACTGATCACAGCAAATAAAGCTGCAAGGTGTATTTATTACAAAGTATTATTAAAACCTGGGAACCTGCCGTGAGAGACACATCGCTGATGACACAGGGCTGTGATTACTCCTCTGATACAGTTTATTGACGCATAAATTAACTTAAAAAATAGGCAGGATAATAATCTGGATGAACTGACTGCAATGATTAAATTTTCCGGTGGGCTTTCTCACTTAAAAAGATTTAGATTATTTAGATGAAAAAACACCTGCGGAGGTGAGTCCTGATGCGCCGCGCGGCCCACAGGCTGCTGTTGAATTAAGTTTTCAGGTAGAAAAATAGAGCGGGAGCAAAACTGAGTATGATTGTGCTTTATTCAAGTATTTATTACAAAGTATTAATCAAACCCCTCAAAGTCCTCATCCTCTGTTTCTGAATTAAACAGCTGCGCTAAATCCGACATGCCAGTTTCCCCTTCTTCTTCGTTTATTGACGCATAAATTAACTTAAAACATAGGCAGGATAATAATCTGGATGAACTGACTGCAATGATTAAATTTTCAGGTGGACTTTCTCACTTAAAAAGATTTAGATTATTTAGATGAAAAAACACCTGCGGAGGTGAGTCCGTATGCGCCGTGGACCAGAGCCTGCTGTTGAATTAAGTTTTCAGGTAGAAAAATAGAGCGGGAGCAAAACTGAGTATGACTGTGCTTTATTCATGTATTTATTACAAAGTATTAATCAAACCCCTCAAAGTCCTCATCCTCTGTTTCTGAATTAAACAGCTGCGCTAAATCCGACATGCCGGTTTCCCCTTCTTCTTCGTTTATTGACGCATAAATTAACTTAAAACATAGGCAGGATAATAATCTGGATGAGCTGACTGCAATGATTAAATTTTCAGGTGGGCTTTCTCACTTAAAAAGATTTAGATTATTTAGATGAAAAAACACCTGCGAAGGTGAGTCCCGATGCGCCGCGGCCCACAGGCAGCTGTTGAATTAAGTTTTCAGGTAGAAAAATAGAGCGGGAGCAAAACTGAGTATGATTGTGCTTTATTCATGTATTTATTACAAAGTATTAATCAAACCCCTCAAAGTCCTCATCCTCTGTTTCTGAATTAAACAGCTGCGCTAAATCAGACATGCCAGTTTCCCCTTCTGCGCTGTCAGAGTCACTTTCCGTGCAGCGCGGCTCCTCAGAAATAATGCCTGCTTTTGCAAAAGCTTGAAGAACAGAGCCAGCAGACACGTTATTCCTCGCTGCTTCTGCTGCACCTGCTGGGTCCGGTTCACACCGATGTCGAGCGGTTGAACAGCGAGCACAGGGTTAATTTGTTTCCCCATGTTTTTCACATCAGCTGTGAGATGGGCACGCATGGAGTTACATATTAATGGTGATGAGTGGAAAAAAAACAGCTGGTCTCCTTACATTCAGCCACTCTTTCATCATCTCCTCAATGAGGTGGTCTCAAAAGTCGCAGTTACAACACACATAGGGCGCACCGCACCATAGGGCGCACGGCACATTTTGAGGGGGAAAAAAGACGTTTAAGTGCGCCTTATAGTCGTGAAAATACGGTACATATATATACACATATACATATATATACACATATACATATATATACACATATACATATATATATACATATATATATACACTCACCGGCCACTTTATTAGGTACCCCATGCTAGTAACGGGTTGGACCCCCTTTTGCCTTGAGAACTGCCTCAATTCTTCTTGGCATAGATTCAACAAGGTGCTGGAAGCATTCCTCAGGGAGTTTGGTCCATATTGACATGATGGCATCACACAGTTGCCGCACATTTGTCGGCTGCACATCCATGATGCGAATCTCCCATTCCACCACATCCCAAAGATGCTCTATTGGATTGAGATCTGGTGACTGTGGAGGCCATTTGAGTACAGTGAACTCATTGTCATGTTCAAGAAACCAGTCTGAGATGATTCCAGCTTTATGACATGGCGCATTATCCTGCTGAAAGTAGCCATCAGAAGTTGGGTACATTGTGGTCATAAAGGGATGGACATGGTCATCAACAATACTCAGGTAGGCTGTGGCGTTGCAACGATGCTCAATTGGTACCAAGGGGCCCAAAGAGTGCCAAGAAAATATTCCCCACACCATGACACCACCACCACCAGCCTGAACCGTTGATACAAGGCAGGATGGATCCATGCTTTCATGTTGTAGACGCCAAATTCTGAACCTACCATCCGAATGTTGCAGCAGAAATCGAGACTCATCAGACCAGGCAACGTTTTTCCAATCTTCTATTGTCCAAATTCGATAAGCTTGTGCAAATTGTAGCCTCAGTTTCCTGTTCTTAGCTGAAAGGAGTGGCACCCGGTGTGGTCTTCTGCTGCTGTAGCCCATCTGCCTCAAAGTTCGACGTACTGTGCGTTCAGAGATGCTCTTCTGCCCACCTTGGTTGTAACGGGTGGTTATTTGAGTCGCTGTTGCCCTTCTATCAGCTCGAACCAGTCTGGCCATTCTCCTCTGACCTCTGGCATCAACAAGGCATTTCCGCCCACAGAACTGCCGCTCACTGGATGTTTTTTTTTTTTCGGACCATTCTCTGTAAACCCTAGAGATGGTTGTGCGT